ATGTTCCCCCCCCCCAAAGGTGGGGACAGACCTGGAGCACGATGGCCGGCACCGAGAAAATCATGGCCTCGTTGAACACAGGGTTGGTGTCGTCCCTCTTCACCGCTGTCTTCTTCTTGCTGATCTTCCTCCCGTCCTGCAGCAGGTACACCTTGACGAAGGGATCTGCTCAGGGTGGGGGGAGAGGGAAACCCGGGGTCAGTCGTGCGCTTCCCCTGCCATACGGAGAAAACGGGGGAAACCATCCCCGGTGGACCTTCCTGGTAGGGTCTGTCCTCAGCAGGAGCCACGCCAATAAATATCCCCGTAGCGTAGCGGGAGAAACCAGGAGGAAAGCCCACCTCCAGCCCAGCCGGCTCCCCCGCTCACCTGCGGTCACTTTGCCGTTGGTCCACACGAGGTTCTTGGCTTTGACCACCACCACCGTCAGCCGCTCGGCCGTGGGCAGGTAGCTCAGGGAGAGCAGGATCTCCCCCACCGTGTCCACCGCCTGCAGGACACAACGTCCCATCACCCATCGACCCCAACCCGGCTGGGAGGAGAAACCCCCCCAAAAAACAGGGCGGGAGATGGACCACCACCCCCCGCTCGCCTTGTTCATGTCCTGCAGGTAGAGCCAGGCGTTGAAGGGACGCGTGGCCAGGTCCAGGTCGGAGAGCTTGAGCTCAGCCACGCCGGTGCTGACGTTCCGCTCGTCCTCGTCGATGCCAAAGACGGAGAAGCGCAGACTGTTCTCCTCCAGCGCCGCTGGGTCCAGCGGGATGGAGAAGCGCTCGTCGAAGGCCACGGCGTAGGCGCTGCGCTGAATCTGCCGTGGGGAAGGGGGGGATTGCCGTGGTGCCCACCGGGCTTTGGTGGGTACCAAAGATTTGCCCTGGTGGGTCCGAGATCTGCCCTGCTTCTCTCGAGGGAGCTGCGAGGAGCGTGTGGCTTTGGGGTGGCGAGCACAGGGTGTCCCCCAGCACCAAGGAACTGGGGGGTCCCAGCCCCGACGGGGACAGAAGTTATTTCCCACCTGTCCGCAGCGGCCGCTCGGCGATTGGGGAAGAAAATAGAGGCCACGAGCTTCCCCAGTGCCCATTAATTCTTTTAATTGCAAATTTCATGTTGGCAGGGTGCTCTCAGCGGGAAGCGCCGGGCATCCCCGTGCCGTGGGAGCTCGGATGCGCGGCCGGCGTCGCCGCGCCGGACTCTAGGACTCGGCCAAGGGGTAACCCCCCGCCCAGCCCAGCGCCACACCGCGCCGCAGCCCTCAGCCTGCCAAATGGGGACGATGCTTTTTGCCAGACATCGTCTCTACGTCACGTCGTGCGCTTGGAGCAAACGCCGCAGCGCCGCCCCGTCCCGCGGGGTGCCGGTCCCTCCCCGCTCACAAAGCGCTGGGGAGGGGGGGAACTGCTCGGAAATCACCGCTTTGGAGACTGGGGTTTCCTGCTCCGGCCCTATTTCTTTCGGCATCCAAGGTACCACCCACCGATCAGAATTTGGTCCTAAAAAGACGCCCGGTGCTCTCACGGGATGGAAAGCCGCAGCCTGGGATGGTGCGGAGCAAAGCGGAGCCACCCGCTCCCCGCTCCCCCCCGGGGGGAAAGGGATCCCGCTGCGGGGCCGGGGGGCTCAGCCCTGAGCCCGTCGGGCTCCATCACCCCCCGACTGCCCGGCAATGGTTCACCTCAGCCCAAGGACTGCCCCACGGCCTCTCTGTCCTCTCCTCCAGGCGCTCCATCCCCGGGATGAAGGCCACGAGGCGGTACCGTCCATCACCCCCGTCCCAGCGTGGCAGCCCCACGCGCTCCCACGGGACACCGCCGACCTCCGGAGCTCCCGGGGGATTAAAGTACCTCGATGGGAAAAGCCGATTTGCAGCTATATCTGCTTTATAGCACCGATGACTATCTGTCTGCAGCCCACTTTATATTTTGGGATCTCTGGACGAAATGTACAAGAGAAATGTGAGCTGCTATTTCAAAAAAAAAACACCAACCAAACAACGTAAGTACTGTAAAGCATTAAAGGAAAAGAACGGAATGTGTCTTTATGACTTGTCTCAGAACAGCAAAAGAGCGTAAATAGCACTGGTGAATTATAAATAACGATGCTAAATAATAAATATCTCCAGAGCATAAATAAAGAGCCTGATCTTCGGATGGGAAAATGGTCTTAAAAGGGCGCTGTGGAAATATTTCCAAGGCCGCGGCTTTGGGCCGGCTGGAACGGTACCCCCACCCTCGCCGCAAGGTTTCATTAGCGGGATGAAGCTTTCTGCTCCTTTCTGGAATATCCTGATTAAATCCAACTGGCTGACCCTGACCCTCGCAAAAAGCAGCTGCTGAAAGAAAATGCAGGCTCCCGCTTTCCGGAAGCAGCTTTTGAGGCACGTAAATGGGATGTTTCGCCCCAAAACCACCCCTGGTTCTGCGGGTGCGGCGCCCGGATCTGTGCCCGCCGCATCCCAAACCGCCGCCTCTCCCCACATCCCGCCCCGCACCGCTTCCGC